ATGCTCCAAACCCCCCAGGGATGCTCTGACAGCCCCAGGGATGCTCCAAAACCCCCATGGATGCTCCAAACCCCCCAGGGATGTTCTGACAGCCCCCAGGATGCTCCGAAACCCCCAGGGATGCTCCAACAGCCCCCGGGATGCTTCAAAACCCCCACGGATGCTCCGACAGCCCTTGGATGCTCCAAAACCCCCAGGGATGCTCCAAGACCCCCAGGGATGCTCTGACAGCCCCTGGGATGCTCCAAAACCCCCACGGATGCTCCAAAACACCCTGGGATGCTCCAGAACCCCCTGGGATGCTCCAGAACCCCCTGGGATGCTCTGACAGCCCCCGGGATACTCCAAAACCCCCAGGGATGCTCTGACAGACCCCGGGATGCTCCAAAACCCCCGAGGATGCTCCAAAACCCTCAGGAATGCTCCAAACCCCCCAGGGATGCTCCAACAGCCCCCGGGGATGCTCCAACAGCCCCCGGGGATGCTCCAAAACCCCCACGGATGCTCCAAAACCCCCAGGATGCTCCAAAACCACCACAGATGCTCCAAAACCCCCACAGATGCTCTGACAGCCCCCAGAGATGCTCCAAAACCCCCAGGGATGCTCCGACAGCCCCTGGGATGCTCCAAAACCCCCAGAGATGCTCTGACAGCCCTTGGGATGCTCCAAAACCCCCACGGATGCTCCAAAACCTCCAGGGATGCTCCAAAACCCCCAGAGATGCTCTAACATCCCCAGGGCTGCTCCAAACCCCCCAAGGATGCTCTGACAGCCCCTGGGATGCTCCAAAACCCCCAGGGATGCTCCAACAGCCCTTGGGATGCTCCAAAACCCCCAGGGATGTTCTGACAGCCCTTGGGATGCTCCAAAACCCCCGAGGATGCTCTGACAGCCCCCGGGATGCTCTGACAGCCCCCGGGATGCTCCAAAACCCCCAGGGATGCTCCAACAACCCCCGGGATGCTCCAAAACCCCCAGGGATGCTCCAAACCCCCCAGGGATGCTCTGACAGCCCCCGGGATGCTCCAAAACCCCCAGGATGCTCCAAAACCCCCAGGATGCTCTAAAACACCCAGGGATGCTCCGAAAACGACCTCCGAGTCATCTGCCACCACTGAGCGATGCCATATGGCCCAGGAAGCTCCCACTGTGCCCAGTGCCCCCAGGAACGGAGCCAGCCGAGGGGTGTCCGTCTGTCCGTCCGTCTGCCGGGGCCACGACCTCCCCCTTGGCCCCCCCAAGCATCCCTCTGCCACCGTTTCCATGGGGCTGGGGGGGCGCAGGGATGCTTCGGCATCACGGGGCTGGAGGATATAACCCTGCAGAGCCCTTCCTCCTCCTCCTCCTCTTCATCCTGCCCTTCTCTCCAGGAGTCAGGGCTACGGGACACGGCTCCTGGCTTCGGCATTTGGCCGGCACCGAGCCCCCGGGGACCTGGCTTTTGTGGAAAAGCCAAAAAAAAAAGGGCTGGCTGAGGTCATGCCGTGGCCGCCACGCCAGCGCCGGCACCCAGGCTGCTGGATGTGACCAGTGCTGGGTGGAGCTGGGGCTTCACAACGGGGTTTGTGGGCCACCGGTGGCCACCGGGTGGTCCTGGGCACCCCCTGCCCTTGCCAGCCCCCGGGGAAGGGCAGGGGAATGGCAGCAGTGGGATTGGGGGGACTGGACCCCAAACCCCATCAGATCCCCATGGGGCTCTCCCCAGCCCCTGGATGTGGCCAGTACCAGGGTTTGTGGGCCACCAGTGGCCACTGGGTGGTCCTGGGCACCCCCTGCCCTCGCCAGCCCCAGGGAAGGGCAGGGGAATGGCAGTGGTGGATTGGGGGAACTGGACCACAAACCCCATCAGACCCCTTTGGGGCTCCCCCCAGCCCCTGCATGTGGCCAGTACCAGGGTTTGTGGGCCACCAGTGGCCACCGGGTGGTCCTGGGCACCCCCTGCCCTTGCCAGCCCCCGGGGAAGGGCAGGGGAAGGGTAGTGGTGGGGAGTAGGGGAGGGCTGGACCCCAAACCCCATCAGTCCCCTATGAGGCTCCTCCCAACCCCTGGATGTGGCCAGTGCCAGGGTTTGTGGGCCACCAGTGGCCACCGGGTGGTCCTGGGCACCCCCCTGCCCTCGCCACCCCCCCAGGGAAGGGCAGGGGGACTGGGATGGGTTGGGGGGGGGCAGAAAAGGGGGGGGGTCTGGAGCAGCTGAGGGTGAGCGGCGCCAAGTTCGTGCTCCGAGCAATTAGCGAGCGGCTCCCCAAAGAGCCCACTAATTACGAAAGCAAGGCGGGACAATTAGGATAACCCTTGACAAGGCCAAAAAAACAACCAACCCGGCGCAGGGTGAGAGGATCAGCCCCGGAGGGGGGGGGGTTTGTGGGCCACCAGTGGCCACCGGGTGGTCCTGGGCACCCCCTGCCCTTGCCAGCCCCCGGGGAAGGGCAGGGGAAGGGTAGTGGTGGGGAGTAGGGGAGGGCTGGACCCCAAACCCCATCAGTCCCCTATGAGGCTCCTCCCAACCCCTGGATGTGGCCAGTGCCAGGGTTTGTGGGCCACCAGTGGCCACCGGGTGGTCCTGGGCACCCCCTGGCCCTCGCCACCCCCCCAGGGAAGGGCAGGGGGACTGGGATGGGTTGGGGGGGGGCAGAAAAGGGGGGGGGTCTGGAGCAGCTGAGGGTGAGCGGCGCCAAGT